CAGATAGTGGCGTAAAATCTTACAGTCTGTAGTAATAATAATAGAGAAATTTCTACAGCACCTTATTCTAGAGCTCTAAGGCGCTTTACAATAAAATGTTTAAAGCAGTAACTTAGTGAATAATAAATTCGAAAAATACGAGACCAAAACTACGAATTAAAATTGCGCTTAAGACTGCTCTGGAAGATTATTCCAGAATTTAGGGGCGCAGACCGAAAAAGCACGATCACCATAAAATTTTAACGATCTAGGTGTCACTAACAAATTCATGATTGATGATCGTAAATTCCTAGGTGGATTGTAAGTTTGCAACGAATCACGAATATAGCTAAGACTTTTAAATCATTTAAAGATTAACTAACCGGGGGTGATGCTTCTATTGTTGGCTGCTGAGGCTTGTGTGGAGAAGTGCTACTTGAATTGCATGGTGTTGCTGGTAGGGAAAACTGTGCAGAGGGCAGTGGTGGAGAGCGCGGAAGGGTGTTTCGAGGGGGTGAAGCTGGTCGTAACTGAGCCCGGTTTCGACGGAGAATGTGGTTGCCAGTGTCGATTTTATGGGACCGTGGCGACGGATTGGAAACCACCCTGACCATAAATCCAAGGGGTCTCCTGTTGAGATCGCCGAGGTTTTGCGTAAGCATGGGAGCCTAATGGTAATGGCATCAGTGGAGGCTGCGCCTGTTTGTCGTAATGAGCTTTTGAGGTTTCTTTGCGGAGAGTGATCTCAGAGTAGACCGTCGAGGGATCTGCAGGTGCAGGTCTAAGGAAATCTTCTGAAAGTGGTGGTGTGGAGCGAGTACGTCTCCCCATTAACCTTTGAACTGGTGAGAAGGAGAAGCCTCGTGGAGGCTTACTCGTTCGTTAACTGTATCTAATTCTTAGCAAAACTCATAGCGAAGATATTCAGTCTGCCTTTTTTTGAAGTCTCTTGCGACATAAGGCGAACATGTATACGTGTGACAAGTATTTCTCGACCTCTTTTTAATGTCGCTTGTTTTATAACATAGAATGTAACCGACAACCAAGCCATTATCCCAGACGTCATCACGGACCCTGCAGCTCGAGAAAAAGAACAGCTGAAAGAGGGTGAGTATGATGACGACGAGAAAACTTCGCTTATCTTTCATAGTTGTTTAGAGATGTAAGCAAAAGTACAACAACAACTTAGAGAACAGCCTTAAACCCTAAGGATGTTGTTTACTAATTTCTCCTTACGATATCACCCTTGAGTCAAATGTAAAGGTTATGAGATTTAAAGAAATGATATAAATATTAATGTTAGGGTGCAAAGGGTTAACAGTGAGCCATGATTAAGTCGCCATGTGTGAGTTGGCGTAATTAGCGAGCATTCCGGTCCACCTTTTTCGAATTTATTTCCCGTGTGTTTTACGCTCTTTGGGCAAAAAAATTATCTTAACAAGCGTCTTTGATTTATGTGTACCAGAGGTCATTACAAATCCAGATGGGGAAAAAAAACAGAGGAGAAAGAGAGAGAAAGAATCATGGAACCTCGAAGAAGAGAAGCAACTTTGTTCTGCGTGAGTATGAATCGGAGGTTTCACCACGGCCTTTTATACTAGAATCGCAACAAATCGATGTTGCTAAAAAATATATTGGAAAAATTAACTCTCTGGCCGTCGCATTACGAATTGCACAGTGAAAAAAAAGTGCGAAATATCGTCCTTTCCAAATTGCGTCCTTCATGCAAGAGGTGAAAATATCTCGCAACAAGACGAGCTAGACTAAATAAAGAACTTTCCACAATAATATTTTCGTTCGCAGTTTATTAATAATAAGGCGCATTTCGCCCCGACTAATCAGAGATAAGGTAGAGGTGCAATTTTTGGGTAAGTTTTTTAGCAATGACGTGTTGCAGGTTTTTCTTTACCAAATCAGATGAGTCATCGCAATTTTTACGAGAACTAGTCGCTAAATATTTGTTTCATGCGGATATTTGTTCTACGATTAGTCAATAAGGAATAGTTTGATCGTATATGTACTTAATTTGAAACAGACAAAGATGTCAAGTCAGAAAAAGGACAATGGGACTATAAACCAGCTTTTTAGATGTGTTAATCAAGAAACAATTTTATTGCAACCCTCCGTCCGTCGTTCATTTTAGTATTATCTAATACAATTTACCTGTGCGTATGGTCTTGTGCGACAGGTTGAAAAGAAAGAAGAAAGACTTTTCTAAAGCAGCGGAATTAGTACCAAATAAGGTAACGGGACAATCAGCACGATTATATGATAAAAATTATTAGCCTTGGTAAAGAAATCCATTCAATGTCATGCCAGGTCATATTGCCAGCGGTATTGCTTAACGGCCATACTGCGGACGAGGAGCCAAAATGACCGTAGAGATTGAAATCCGACTGCCTCACAGTTTCTTATCATTTGCAAACTTAATGAAGTATAAATGGATCACTGATCATTGTAGTCATTACGTCTTTCTTTTACTTTTCAGACGCGAGAGGAATGCGTGGTACATTGGTATTACTACAAAATGAAAGAATATCATTTCAAGGTCAGAGATAGCAGCTAAGCATTGAACACTGGGTAGGGTGGGGGGTCATATTCCCTTTTATCTGAAAAAAAAAATTAAGTTTCTTCGTTGTTCTTTCAGAAAAGCGAATAAAAAAATTCGGTGTGTTTATGAAAATAAATTCTAGAAAAAGGTTCCAATTCACTTATTCCATAAAAATATCCGCTAGCAAGTGTAGAAAACCTCTGATAAAGTTTTGTTTATCTGTTTGCTTTTGAAGAACAGCACAGACCTAAAGTCTTGTTCTAGTTGCACCTAGTGAGCAGGGACTAGAAAAATATAAAAAAATATCACTCGATGCTGTTCTGCCTGATAAAATGTATGATGGCGGAAGTTTCTTCAAAGTTAGGAAATCAATGATTTCCTTTTCTCTGAAAAACGCAACAGATACCTTGCTTCTTAATAGGTATCTTAGAATAGACCTTGCTCAAGAGAAAGTAATCATCATGTTCCCTTGTTCCGTTGTTAATGATTAGAAGACCATAACCTCCTAGCTTTAACTGGCCACCATCATGAAGTTATCAATTGCGCTAAATATAGAGTATTGAGTTGAAATGGCATTGTAGGGGTTGATTTTCTCTTGTTTAAACATTTAGTTGAAGAATGTTTTTTTCACAAATGAAACCTCTCGGCTGTTTGTGACATTGGTGTAAACAAGAAATGACGTCGTTTTGTAAACACACTCACCCCGATACTTGGCAATTTTAAGTAGTACCCGTTTACCCAGTATTCTCACAAATTTATACTTAATGGTTTCTACAGGCGTGCAACCTTTGCGCGGTCCGTATGAAACAAAAAGGGAAACGCGAACTGACCGAAGAACCAGAAGAAGCCGCAGAGGCTGCCTCGTCTCCAAAGAAATCAAGGTCTGGAAGAATCATCAAAGTTCCTCGACGCTTCTCCAAGAGAGCCAAGGGGAGTTAGATGTGAAGGAGAAGCCTCGCAGGATATTTGTATTCTATTCGCACGTTATTTGTACTCACTACCGTTGGATAATAACCTAAGTAGAGAAAAAAACCTGTTTTACCAGTCGGCTGCGCGCGCTACGCTTTGATTCATAATGGTAATAGGACCGAGTGGAGTCCAATTCGGTCTGTAATCATACGAATGATTAACAAAATCGGACGACCGCGAAGCAAGAGTCCGATTTGTTTATCACGAGTATGATTACAGACAGAATTGACGACAAGAAATCCTGTTACCAATTAATCATAACCATTTCAATTTCCGAAAAAACAAATACACCTAGAACAAATCTCTCCAGCGCGGACAATGTTTTTAGTTTAATATTCCTCCATTTTGGAAATTGCCTTGTTTTTCTTTGGATAAATGGTTGTTGCCATGGTTGTTGTGACCAATTCTGTGATCGGTGGATTCAGCTGAATGGACCTAGTATGATTGGCTGCTTCAACTGTCCGATTACAGCCAACTGTCCGATTACAACTGTACAGAATGAATAGTGAAAAATGAAGCAGCAGATGCACCAATCACATTTGAGGAAATTGTAATGGTTATGATTACTTTTGGTAATAGGCTGAGTGGAGTCCAGTTCGGTCTGTAATCATACAAGTAATAAACAAAATCGGACGATCGCTAGGCGGGAGTTCGATTTTTTTTCAATTGGAACCAGAAGACTCAACCTTCTGTTACCAATTACTCAAACCCGTTACAATTCCCAAAAAAAACAAATACATTTAGGACACATATCTCCGTGGGAGACAATGTCTTTAGAAAAAAATCCCCCCATTTTGGAAATTCCAAATTTTTTTTTTCAGGATAAGTGGTTGTTGCTATGGTTATTGTGATTAATTCTGTGATTGGTAAATAACCATCTCCAAGTATTTAATTCTTTACTAGAGCAAATTGTAGCATCCCAGAGCAGCATGTTTTCGTTTTAACAGGAAAAGTATTGCGAGACAAAGTACTTTAATAATTTGGGGCACTATAGCAAAGAAATAAAATGTAACTGGTGTCAGGAGTGAAAAATATTTATTCCAACAATCAGCTTATTGTACCGTAGTCCTGCACTGTGATCACGCTCAAAGCGTGTTTAAGGCGTTTCCAGTGGTCCACATGTACACCAAAAAGGCAATGTATCTAAAAAAGTTGCTATCCTACATGATACTTGTCTCTCTGCAAAGAGTGAGTCGCTTTAAATTTCTTTTTTTTAAATCGCTTAAAATATTTTTCAGATTTATCAAAGATTGAAATCCGATTCTAAGACAAAGTGCAACACCACAATAATCGTAATAAGATAAGAACCATGAAATGATCAATAAAGTAAAATGACACACTAATAAAATTGAACACTGAAAGAATAATAATATAAAGTATAATACTAATAATAATGATAACAAAAATAGTGATATTAATAGAAATAATAATAATAATAATAATAATAATAATAACAACAACAATAATAATAATAATAACTATGATAATTTATTTGATCAGCACATCTGGGCTTTGAGCTTCCGAGACCGACATGGTTATCGCTTGTTTGACACCAGCTATCCCCATAAATACTCCAACCTTTATCCTTTTTGCAATCCTTTTAAATACTCAACCCAGTATCTTTTTTCTATCGCTCTATTACCATCCCTTTGGTGTTCATTTATCCTCGAAAAATGTTTGTTTTCGGTTTTATTACTGTATGAAAACAACCAGCATCTTAAGAACGACTCAAAAGATGGCGAAGGGCCACTTTAAAATCTCACCATCAACAAATATTCCTCATCATAACAAAGAGTAAATCAATACCAACACTTAACCAGTGATCACCACTATCATGAGACTTCTTTCTTCATACACCAGCCCAATTACTCTTTCATGCGTACGAAAATAGGCCATTTTGGCCACATTTTCAAGTGAAAATCCTATTTTAAACATGCCGAGATGACTAGGAAGACTAACTACATACTTTAAAAAGAATAGGAAAGGAAAAAGTTATCTTTAGTACCTGAATATGCATATGAAAGCTTAACTATTTCTAAACAGTTTGGGAGTCTGTCTTCAAAATTCCTCTGTAGCAACAGAAAACACTGTCAGTGGTTGCGATGTAACCTGTGTAGAGAACCTTTTGTGCAGTTTTCATTTTCTGTTTATCTACGCGACCCTTTTCCTTCTTCTTTATTATTATTCTTTTGGTATTTTTGTGCATAAATTTTTCATTATGTCAAGGTAAGCATCACACAAACGACAAACCTTAAAAGCCAAGCCCAAAACCTTTTCCTGGCACATATGTACCACACCAGCCGTCATATTTTACTAGAACCTTCATATGCTGAAAAAAAATCGAAATATAATAATTATTCGCCCATAACTGGAGGAGAGGAATTTCCAATCGAGTGTCGAAAATAATCAAGGATTTGTTTGGTTTCATTGAAACTTGCTCTGTGATTGGTCCAAAAAAATCGCAACATCCTCTCAACCAATCAGATGCAAAACTAAAAACAATTGCGACTCGGTCAATTTGCGTTTTCCCGCGCTCCAGGCAGTTTGCTTATTTCCACTTTGAGTTCTCATTGGCTAATTATAAAGTAAACCTTTGCTCTGACGGGTCGATGAAATAATTTTGGTTTTGGTTTTTCGATACTCAAATGAAAAATGCTCTTAAGCAGTCCATTGATAGAATTCACCTGTACAGTATGCGCTGTAAAGCAAGCTTTCTAGCAAGCACCCAGCACTCGTGTTATTTTAAGAAATTTTCTTCCATACTCCTCCTTCTAAGTTACGATACGGACCGAGATTAAATATATATTGTTTATGTTTTGTCTTGTCTGAGCACCAGTCATTACGGTTCCTCTCATAAGAACACTTGACGCAAATAAACTGCAGGGTGTCACCCAGACGAGAGTGTGCAAATGTACAGCCAGCCGGAGCTTTTCCTTCTACGTGGCGCCAGCACTCCTCGGATTTATCTGATCCCCTGACGGCCACCCCATGGCGCATGCGCCCTTCTTTATCCCAGTATACCGGTTTGAAAGCCACCCTTTTCGCAGACTGAATATGTTTCCCATCAATTGGTTTCCATCCTTTTTTGGGGTTTTTACTCTTCATAGCTTCCTTGTATTCGTTCGATTCTGGTAAACTATCTAAATATCCCTGCAGGGTTTGTGGTCCCACACTCTGTACACTTGATGGTAGCCTTGATGTTCCGCTCTCCAAAGATATGTCATCACATTTGGCAAAGCGACTGGTGTCGAGTTTTTCAGACGGCACTGGCCTTGCTGTGGTTGGGGTTGGACGGACTTGAGAGTGACTGGTATAAGTTGAAGGTGTTCTCTGACTCGACTGCATATAATAAGAAGTCTGCTCACTGATTGAACCATAATTATGCTGGCTGTCTTGACTAAGGTCTGCTGCCTCTGTAAAGACATCGAGAATAATTTAAGTTTGAAAACTGTGTTGATGGTACAGTTAGATTAACAAGCATGTACGGTGATGTTAGGGGAAAAGTTATGGTGGTAATACTAGATAAATGATAAAATAATACAAAAAAGGTTGTGAATACGTAACCTGCTGAGTAGATACGATTTTGGCGAGAGAGTGCCAAGTATTTTTCTTGATCAAAATCATAGCCACCATCTCTTAATTTTCAGCAGCGGAAGGCTGGGGAAAGCAAGCTACTTGATAAAAGGCGCAAAAGACAAGCGATAGTCGAAAGGAAGGAGAGGGGAGGTGATGGGACAAAAGAAATAGGGTAAAAGAAATTAATCTCCTCGCCTTTCACCACCCCCTCCCCCACAGTCCACTCAAACTCTACATCGGATAAACGATCGCGAGCTTTATTGTATACGCAGACGTAAAGGCACGTAAGAAATACGCTGGGTACTCGCTCAAATGAACTCGCCACAATAGGACGCCTGCTCGCTCAGCAAGCTATCATATACGAGACCAAGTCTGAATTGATCCTGGTCCTGGCTTAAATTCACTCACCAGTATTAAGAGCTGAAGCATACGAATGTTGAGACTCTAATTCCATAGTTTCAACGTCTTTCAACGACTGCTCGATAGCCAGGTCTTCTCTCTCATCAACAATATCCTTACGCTCAGAGACATTGGCTGTCACTCTCTGATATTGTCCCATATCTTGAGAAGGTACAGGAGACGGTGCAGATGGTACCATCATATGATTGACATCATTCATATTTTGATTATAAATAACTGTAGACGCCTCACTCCCTATACCGTCCGGGATAATACCTCCTGGAGCATTAGCTGTGGTTGCCTGCAGGAAGCCTCCATACATATTAAATTGATCTTGGTACTGACTTAAGTTGGACCACAGCTGTGCAGCAGTATAAGGGTCCAAGGACTGTGTACCATACGAAGAAGGGACCTGAGCAGAGGTGAGGGAGCCACTTTGTGCCTCCGTCAGTTTTAAATTAAACTCGCCACTAGCCAGAGCAGCGTAATGATTAATAAGCTCTTGTTGCGTGTTAAGCTCTGCCATATTGTTAAGTAATTTGTTATACTCAGCAGCACTAATTAACATATCTTCAGTTTGTATGCTCGCGTCCACAGTAACTGTGGAGGTCTGTGAGTAATTCTCAGCAGTTGAAACTTTATCTTTCCTCCTTACTGTTTCTAAAAAGACAAAAAGGAGCCATAGTTAAGAGTACGTAATAATATTTATTCTGAAAGTTTTACATGTACTGCACATAATGCAGAACGATATGAACAGGGAACACTTGAAAGAAGGAAATAATGAAGGGGAAAATCTTAGTCATGGTTGAGCAGAAGCAAGCAAACATTGATGTCCTACTTCATGATTCTTGAAGATTTTAGATATATGTTTTTGGCGGTGGAAAGATGAAAGAGATCCTCGCAGCTAAGAACACTACTGAAAATATCAGCGGGATTTGAACCCATGACCTCTGCGATACCGGTGCAGCGCTCTACCAATTGAGCTAACAAGCCAACTGGGAGCTGGTCAATGAATTGGGTCCAAATAAACATCCAAGTGAATGAAGATTTTAGATATATGAAAATTCACGATTCTTGTTGTGTTTTTGGCTGAGGTTGAATATCAGCACAAAAAGTACCAAAACCATATTTGTTTCTTCTCATACCTTTCAGATTGACAATGTACTGTTAGAGAAATTTTTATGAGTGTCAAGAGTGATCTGTGATAGCTTCAATTTAGGTTTACTTTGCTCTGTGATTGGTCCAGAAAACTTGCACCACTCTCTCAACCATTCAGATGTAAAACTATAACCCATCATGACTTGGTGGCCAGCGTTTTACCCCGTTTAAGGCAGTTTGGTTGTATTCACTTTAAGAGGTCATTGGCTCTTAAAGGTATCTTCAGTTCTTCTAATTGGCCATTGTGATTAGTTTGGTTTCTTGTTTGTTTTTTATGACATTCAATAAAAAAGTTTCCCTATTTCCCTATCATTCACTCCTTAAAGTGAAAGTGTTAAACCTCTCAGCTTTCCGTGCAGCGTATGGTCTCCCTCAGCCTCTTTGTGTGGGTAATAACATGATTTTGAGTGCAATTTGGTGAAAATAAACATGAGTAAATCTTTGCAAAGACAACAAAATTGCAGAAGCCCTTAGGGCGAATGCAATTTGCAGACTTTGAAAAAGTGCTTATTTCACCTAATTGCAAGAGAAAACAGGTCATTGCTTGTTTATAATGTACATGAAAAAACATCACAGAAAGTCAAGACAGACAAAACTTTGAAAGCGTGCCCACTTTTTTTAAACTTGCACTCATGTTACAACTTTGCACTTGTTTTACACAAGAATGTACTTGTTTGTAGCCAATCAGAAGCACATAATTTGTACATTATGTACATTATTACTCAAATAAAAAATACCTGTTATGAGCACTGGATGGTGAAAGAAAGCTTGCTGTTTTAGGTAAAGTTGTAGTAACTTAGTGTGTCATAATCAGTTTAAATCTATCCTGATTTTATTCACCTTGACTGGAATAACGTTTCCTCCAGGACTTCATGATTGGAATACAGCGTCCAAGAGGAATACCTATCTCCTGCAAACAGACACAATGCCCTTTAATTGCTAGGATCTGATTGTTAATTCTACCCTCTAGCGACTACACATTTCCTTGTAAGTTAGTTGCAAGAATTTTGTGTTAGATCAAGATGACAACTTTTTCCCAACACATTTGAGTACTCCAATGCCTGTTTGCTGGACAGTGGAGGGGTATTGTAAGGAGAAGTTACATGTGAATCACTTCAGGGATTTAAAGGGTTAACGCAGGACTGGTAATAAATCAACATGAAATTGATTCACAAAATCTGTTACTACTAGTCACACATTAAGAACTCACAACAACACAAAACTGGAAAATGGCTGTGAACAAATTTCTTTGATGAAGCTGTACAATATTTTTTTATCAGAAATTATCACAATGGTAAAATGATATAAAAGTAGTACACTAAAAATGGCAAGATTAGCACTTGGTTTTGGCCAGCTATGGGTTCTCATTTACAGCTCTGCATGTATTCAAACTCTCTATGACAATAGATTAATGTTGATCAAATTTGAACTCATCAAATTGATCAAACCTTATTTCTAACCACGACATTTGCATATAGAGTGGGATAGTCAACTTGGCACATTGCTGACACTGGATATTAACCCTTTGCCACACATAAACTGTTAAGCATAAATGAGTGACCAAGATAGAATTTCTCCTTCAATAATAAAACAATATAAAGCTATCAAATGAACTGTAAACTGTTTAGCACAAATGAGTGACCAAGACAGAATTTCTCCTTCAATATCAATACAATATTAAGCTGTCAAATGAATTGAGAATAAAGAAAAATATCAATATGGGGATTAGCAGTTGATCCAAAACAAATCCTCTAAACTCATTTCATAAATATTGTGTGGTAAACAGTAAGGAAAATTACTAATGAGATCCTGGGAGTGGAAGAGTTAACTGTACATGCATATTGCAGTAATGCCAGTGCGGCCTAGTAACCCATGAAACATGACACACAACTGCAAGATTTGCGACCATAGGTATAGCCAATGTAGAAACCAATCCCCCTCCTAGCCTCAGTCCCTGCAGCTAACCTTTTCAGTTTGACTTTCATGCAGATCATGCAAATAAAAGGTGTGAGATTGAGTTAAAATGTAATCATGAGTATGTTCCTATGCCAGACATCTCCCAAAATTATCAGGTAAATTGCCATTTTATTGAGTGTTTCGTATTCCTATGTGATTAGTATTTCTCATGTTATTCATATATTCTATGTTATTTCCAATCTTGTAATCAGTTTTCTCTCTCCCCTTCCTTGATGTATTATGTTTTTAAAACACTTTATTTAGAAACCACTGGCAATGATGTGTAAGTAGAGGAATTTGATTGAGTTGTAAAGACATAAAACTTCTCTTAAATTTATTGCTGGTATGTTGGTTATAGCCAAGTTAAGAATGAGGAAAAGAAAACATGTACATTGGATGAACCATACAGAATTGTATTATAATGCATATAAATAATTAATCAATAAGGCCAATCATTTTTTGTCTACAGCGCATTAAAAGTCACTTATGGTAACCAACAAATTTTATATTGGGGGGTGATTTCAAGAAACATTGGATTGCAGAGTTCAAAGCTGGAACACTATTAAGAGAGAAATAAAACATCTGAAAACAATTTGTAGTTAATATTTTTGACAGTGTTTCAACATTGCTTCACATCATGATCAAGTCAAAAGTAAACAATTAAAAAGATCAGCCTTACCCTCAGTAATTGCTTGAGCTCATCTTCTGTTTCAACATAACGTAAAGTTTGGTCCTTTGGAAGAAAAATGTATTACAATTGTAAAGCTGCACAGAGTAACCTACACACACATGCACATGCACACTACATACAAGTAAGTAGAACATTCAAATAAGTACTTGAAACATCAAGTATCAGATTGTACTTATATATTAATGTGTAAACATTAAATGTAGCTCTTGTCTAAAGCAATGGCATATTTCCTAAGTGGCTCTGTAACTGCAAGCAAGAAGGTTTAGTCACTAAGTGTACATGCAGTTATTAAATACCTGAATACAGTGTTCCTGGAAAGTCTCCTTTAAGTCGGCCATTCCTAGGCTATCAAGAACTTTAAAGACTTCATGGTATGACTCAGCATTTTCCATAGAGTTTCTGTTAAAAGGAGTATTGGAGTGCATGACCTATAACCAGTAAAGAAATGGGATAGCAATGTCTATTAGTGATACAAAACACATTTAACTTTTCCTAACCCTTAAACTCCCAGTGTGTAAGTGATTAACATGTAGCTTCTCCCCTATAACATCCACACATTATTCAGCAAACAGGTCACAAGAATACCCAAACCCATCAGGCAGAAGTTGTTATCTTGGCAAATTTACACCTAATTTACAACGAAATGTGTAGAAGTCAGAGGGGAGAATCCATAATCAGTTCTTAGAAGTTGAAGGGCTAATAATATAATGTTCAAAATTTTAACTTCTCCATTCCATGATTTGATGTGATTTTTCAGCCTGGAATAAATTTTTCACTAAAAATGTAAGCCCTCTGGTGGAAAAGGAAACCTAAAAAAACCTTGAAGACACAAGATACATTCTGTTTCTTTTTGTTTTTGTCTTTCTTCACTAGCAATTTTTTTTGTTGTAGTATTTTTTTATGACACACAACCTTATCTACCAGCTAGGCACCAAATTGTTTCTCCTCACCTAATGGTCTGATTAATATCCCATTCACACCAACAAAACATGTTTAGCAGAACCAGGTTTCATGGAATGAAAATCAAAGATAGAGAGTAAAGAGAAATACTGAGGTCCAAGAACCGTGACCTGAAAACTATCCAGAACACTTTCCAGGTGCAGCGGTAGATATCAACCTCACTGATAAGCTTGTCTTTTCTGATAAGCTGTTTGTAAGATAATAGGTTTGAGGGGGGTCCAATTGAGTCTTTAACCCTTTAACTCCCAGATCAAATTTGTAATTCTCCTTACTGTCTTATAATGTTACTTCAGAGAATTTAGTATTGGATCAACTAGTTAAACCCAAATTGATATTTTTCTGTATTCTCATCACTTCTCTGGTTGATATTGTGTTGATATTGTAAGGAGAAATTCTGTCTTGATCACTCACAGGAGTCAAAGGGTTAATCTGATTGACAAAATTGGACGACCATGAAGTGGGAGTCCAGTTAATTAATTATGAGTTTCATTACAAACAGAATTGGATGACATCAAGTCTGGTTACATATTAATCAATACTATGACAAAATTCCGAGAAATTAACTCGCATATGATCATCCTTTCCCTTAGAAACAACAATTTATTTGGTAAAATGCACCACAAGAGCTTGCAAACATGACAGGTTTTGTCCAATTACACAGCTGTAACATGTACACTGTCTAATTGTAAGCATGATGGATACACTGTGCTTAATCAGGTTAATGATAACCAATCACATTAAAAAATGTTGTCATAATTTTGATTACACTTTAGAATCACAAGGATAACTCATATATTTATCTGTGTAGGAGTAAAGAGGCACTTAAAGATATCTAGACAGGATGTTTATTAGGTAACATAGATTGAATCTAATTCTGTTTCAACTACACAAAATTTTTAGTCTAATTCAAATGTCCTGGACTGTTTTTTAAATTTTTTTTTTAAATTCATGGAGCTGAAGTTCGTGAATGGTACAATGTAATATTATTTTTCTGTCAATTCACACTATCCTCCTCTTATTCAATTTCTTCATAAAAACCCTACAATTATAACAAAATAACAACAATTCACAAATAAAGTCGACTCATGTACAGATCATGAACAAAATTACCGAATCAGTGACAGAATAATCATTTCCATGTTTCATGTTTGGGCTTGTTTAGTAACCAGCATTAAACTAATTTAGTTTACAATTTACTGGTTCAAAAACTTCATACAATTGCTATGGGTTCTCTTTTAATTCAAACTTAGCTACCCATGAAAATTTCCACTTAAAAATGAATTACATATGTCAGCGTTATTCCCTGAAAACAGATGTTTACTCAGATTTTACACGATTGCAATATGCCAATATTCCGTCTATGGTAGCTTGAACACTTTACGGTATGTGAACTAAAACAACCCATCTTTACGGATTTGAGATCTAGCTTTGATTTTTTAGTTTATTTACAGCATATGATAATTAACATATCTTTATTAACGAATATCTTGCAAACCAGAAGCAAAGTAGCTAATGATAAAAAGGCTTGTTTGTCTTAAAGCAAAGCCCCTCAGATTTTACTACGACAGCCGAATAAATATTCTTTACTTCGTTCCATAAAATATATTTAAAGCCCTTACCGGGCCCCTTTTGCTTTTGGAGACTCTTTAGGTCACACAATTCTCAAAAGAAACTGCATAACTGGCGCTAAAACTACTTCCTGTATCTAAATACACGATTAATCAAACGATCGGAATCAAATACGCCAAAGAAACTTTTTCCGTGGCAGTATCTGAAGTTGTAATTCTAAAGGAACAACTAAATTATGCGTTCTCTCACCGTTCTTCGATGATAGCCCCTCGCTTCTGTAATAATATTTCGATCTTGAAAATTAGGTTCAGTTACCAAGGAGGAATACCGAAAACAGTCACTCTGCTCTGAAAGCGCATTCTTTCACTAAGGCACGCCGCCATATTCCAAAACTGCCTGAGGAGGGACTGGTTTCCCCGCAAACCGCTGACATTTACACAGTCGGCTACCAATCGAGGACTGTTCCTTAAACAGTTTAGGGGGAGGGGGTTGGGGAAAGAGAGGGGGGGGGGAGGAGATAGTAGAGCATTGTTTAGGAAAATTTTAAGGTGAGCGGTAACGGTGAGACAATCTGAAGGGAGGAGATACCTACACGCTTCCGTTCACCTGAAAAACACTCCAAAAAATTAGCCCTTAATTAATAAATTGATAAAATTAATGTTCGAAAACCTGCTAAAAGTCTAAATTCATAACAATGGGATATACCTGCTTGTGCATAAATCTCAATTAATTGCCATATTGAAAAAAAGGGAAAAAGAAACGGAAAGAAAGACAAGATAACACTGGGACCTTTATAGATCTAATTATTGTTTTCTAAGGGTGTGAACCAGTAAGTTAGCCTCGATTCCATTTACTCGACCTATAAAGTTATAGCCTCTCCAAAGTTTATGAATTTATCCATTTTTGCCAAACTTATTGTGAAGTTAATGTAGAACTTCCCACTCTAAATGTGATTTTATCCAAGCTTAATTAAACAACTCCTTTGATTAGTTCCTCAGTAATTATTTATTGCAGGACAGACGCATGGATGACGTCACCATTGTCAAACTTTTAAACTTACACGACAATAAAATCAATAGACTCAATTTTACCCTGACTCTGTTTAGTAGAAGGTCACAGAAGAAGTCAAAATGCGTAAGAACATTAGTGACGCGCTTAGCTGTACTCCATCTTTTTGTTCTTAACCCGTTTTGACGTAGGTTTATTCCTTCAACAAAAAAGGTGCTATTGCTGACCCTTCCTATCTTCGTTAAATATGCATTTCTAAAATAAGCTGAATAAGATTCAATAATACATACATTTACTTACATTTATAGAGTATGATGTCTCTATTTAGATGTATTCAAGTAACATAACGTGGTTTAACGATATACACAAATTAAACGTGAGTCCTTCGGCAAAGCAGATTTTATTCCATCGAATTATTTTGTAAGTGGCTGTAATAATCGTATTGCAGTGTAAGTAGTTTAAAGCAACATAAGTTATTGTATTGTACTGTAAGTAATGTAAGCATCTGTATTGTTAATAGCGTAAGTGATCGTATTATATCGAAAGTAGTGTAAGTCTTAGTATTGTAAGGTGGATTTGATCATAATTAAAAAAAGACAATCATATCAAGCTGAATGATACATATATTTTGATTGGCTCTTACTTATGATCTATTGGAGGGGAGATGCAGATATGACGTCACCATTAACAACATTGTGCTTTTTTATCATATGAAACAAATTTATTCTATGCTGTCGTGATTCCGTACAGTAATAGATCACAGAAGAGGTCCAAATGTTGTAAAAACATGAGTAACACACTCGGCTACGCGCACCCCGTGTACCATTTTGTAGTTCTTACCACATTTTGAGGTCATCTGGGATCTGTTACTGAACAGTCGCATGACAATAAGGAATCTATTTCTTATACAGAGCTTTGGAGTAAGAAGAATACATTCCGATAGATAGACAGATAGATAGATAGATAGAAAAGCAGACAGACAGACAAACAAAAAGATAGATAGATAGATTGATAGATAGATTGATAGATAGATTGATAGATAGATAGATAGATAGATAGATAGAAAGGCAGACAGACAAACAGAAAGATAGATAGGTAAATAGATAGATTGATAAATAGACAGATTGAGCAATAGATAGATTGATTGACTAATAGATCGATAAATTGATGGATAGATAGTTAGATATTTAGATAGATAGATAGATAAATATATATAGATAGATAGTTAGCTAGATAAATAAACAGATATATTGATAAATAGATAGATAGATCAATAGACAGATAGTTATATAGATAGATAGATTGATTGATTGATTGATAGATCGATAGATAGATCGATAGATAGATAGATAGTCAGAGAGATAGATAGGTAGATAGTTCGATAGATAGATAGATAGATAGATAGATTGATAGATAGATTGATAGATAGATAGATAGATAGTTAGATATTTAGATAGATAAATAGATAAATATATATAGATAGATAGTTAGCTAGATAAATAAACAGATATATTGATAAATAGATAGATAGATCAATAGACAGATAGTTATATAAATAGATTGATTGATTGATAGATCGATAGATAGATCGATAGATCGATAGATAGTCAGAGAGATAGATAGGTAGATAGTTCGATAGATAGATAGATAGATAGGTAGGTAGATAGATATATAGATAGATAGATAGATAGGTAGATAGATAGATAGATAGATAGATAGATAGATAGATAGATAGATAGATAGATAGATAGATAGATAGATAGATAGATAGATAGATAGATAGATAGATAGATAGATAGATAGATAGGTAGATAGCTAGATAGATAGATAGGTAGATAGGTAGATAGATAGATAGATAGATAGATAGATAGATAGATAGATAGGTAGATAGATAGATAGGTAGATAGATAGATAGGTAGATAGATAGATAGGTAGATAGATAGATAGGTAGATAGATAGATAGGTAGATAGATAGATAGATAGATAGATAGATAGGTAGATAGATAGATAGATAGATAGATAGATAGATAGATAGATAGGTAGATAGATAGATAGGTAGATAGATAGATAGGTAGATAGATAGATAGGTAGATAGATAGATAAGTAGGGTTGCTGTTTAGTTGTAAATTACGCATATTTTCTTCCTCTTCTGATGCTCAATGCCGCTTTGAAATATCCCTCTCCAGGTGGTAGGGTACCGTAAACTCTGAACGCTGCTTCATCGTACGCTCTCTTGTGCATGCCTCTCTCTTGACTCAGCACTCGATAATTTTCCAGCATTTCGTCAGTCAGATATCGACCGCGAGGTTTTCTTTCCTTCTTTCCAGCGTTTGTTCTGCCTTCATTTTGTAATTCCAGCTTGAGTTGATGGTGTTTTTCAAGTCGATGTGTACTGGAAGAGCACTTCGCCATGTTTATTCTAGCCTTGAAACAAAAATTGAGGTATTCAATTTTTGCACCTCTCTATTGATGTGCTAAAACACGAAGAGAGCTACTTGTGAGTACGAGATGAAAAACATATAATAAGCATTCTGCTCAATAATTTATAATTTATTAGTCTCTATTTAGTATCTATCGTAATATTTCTGTACACGAAAGTCTCAGGTATTCTTCTTCACTATTCTGAATTCTGTCATTGTCAATTCTTAAGTCCTTTAGAATAAAGCGAAGAAGGTCAGAGAATGTTACAAACACCTCACAGCTGAGAAAATATCGAAATAAAATTCCCAGTGTCCTTTATGGCACCTGGGCCAGGTTGTTCACAGCTGGCTTAAGTGTAAAATCTGATTTCAGTTCTGAAAGCTTAAAAAGAAAATTCAGTCTAATTCTTTTTGTGTAGAATATAATCATTGGATGCTCCAAGAGGAATACAGAAAATGATCTCAAAAAGGCTTTGAATAAAGAAATAAAGAAACCCAGGTTGAAATTTAACCTTGGGTCAGCACTAATCGGTCCTCGAACAACTATTGAATATTTCCACGAAAAAAAGACTCAAGATTGTAATACATAGAATTTTTCCGATTTTAGGACGAAAAGCCTAGAATCACTGCATCTTTCACAAGCCACTTGGTTCATAAAAACTGAATTTATTTTAGTCTCTCCATACCTGAGTAACTCCTGCGTGTCACTGGATTTTTCGCAAGTTCTTCTCAGCTTTGTGAGGAATTCTCTTACTCCTTACTACGCTCGTTCCAAACTACATTTATACCCATTGTTTATGACGTCAGAGGACACGTTAAATTGAGCAATTCTCAGTGTCGACGGAACTTCCGCTGATACCCGTGCACACGTCCGGTGCAAACAACTAATGATGTCATTGGCATTGACGTCATACTTTGTTTGTCTCGGCGGAAACTAAGGAAATAATATTGGCTGGTGTGTTTCCTTTTTCAGTTCCAGACACATGGTTCCACAAATGGCCGATTTTTAATGAGCGTTTTTTTTTTTGGAAAGGGAGACACTGAAGCAGCTTTAGTTAAGATTTTAGTTCGACGATGTCTAAGAAATTTATTTTAAAACCCTGACGCATTAGGTATTGACGTCACGTTTGTTTGTCATAACGTGAAAAACAACAAACTGCGTCGTTGGAAGAGTATAACAATGTAATTTGACATTATCAGCTGAGTTTTGGGCGTTACTCCTTCGTCATTATTAAAACTCTTTACGGTGGCCAATTATCATTACTAACTCAGTTAATAACACTAAATTATCTTCCACCGTTTGTTCTTTTCGTCCGGGGGGAGGTGGGGGGAGGGGTTGAGGTGATTAAAGCGAAAGGAGCATTTTGCATCCTAATAATACAAGGCGTCTCTTCACTAATCCTACAAATAAACGTTTTTATTAGCAACAGCCAACCAATGACAAGACTTTCAAGTTTGGAGAGACATCTCAAACCTGTTTGTCTGGAAGTATTGCACAATAAGCGGCATGTCATTTTGCATCCTAATAATACAAGGCGTCTCCTCACTAATCCTACAAATAAACATTTCTATTAGCAACAGCCAATCAATGACAAGACTTTCAAGTTTGGAGAGACATCTCACACCCGTTTATCTGAGAGTTTTGCGCAATAAGCGGCACGTCATTGCATCAACATGGCCTGCTCGATTTTTCCGTCACCAAGCAGTGGTGTGCTGTTCTTCCGTTCGATTTGGTAGCGACATTGCTTCAGCTCCAAGGTCCGTGGCTATAATTGGTAATTAACTCCATAAACCAGCTTATATCTGGGGTTTTGCGATGAAGAAACATCATTACCTAACGCAAGGAGTCTCTTTCTTCTTGATGGAGAAAGACACGGATGTGGATGGTGGTTTTTTCATGCTTTGAATAATTAACAAAAGTTGTCTTGCTCTAAATAAAAGAACATGGTTGAATA